GTCTGTACGTCTGTCTGGCCGTGTACACGATACCTCGAGAAAAAATTGAGATATGTCCACGAAATGTGGTAGGTAAGTTTCCCAAGGTAGGTTGGGATCGAAAAGGAGTGACATCGGACAATAACCACGCCCACCTCCCATATAACGGTATTTTTGAAATACATATGCAAAAACTACGATATTTACGTAAATACTGGATCAAAATTGTGGAAAGTTGGTATGCGAAGTAGAATTTTGGCATAAAATAAGACAGTTATGAAATTTTTCGAAAATGGGCGTGGTGGCACCGCCCACTTACGATGAAATGCTGTATCTCTGTGGTCCCTTCACCAATCTCCGCCAAACTCAGTACGAATCTAAGAATCTAAGAATACGAGCGAACATTGCTTAGAGCCTCACTAAGAAACCCTTTGCAAATTTTTGAAATCAGACAAGAACCACGCCCACCTCCACCACCACCACCGGTAATTTACAGAAATACTACGCGATAAATTAGTAACTATTTAAGCTAATTTACTTAAAATCGATATATACAATGACCTCTCAGCAGAAAATGCTGCTTAGGGAATTTTTTGAGAAAATCAGCGTTTACCTACGTATGTGTATCTCGTTAACCGGTTTATTAATTTCTAACAAACTCGGTACATTTATCAACCTTGGCTCAAAATTAGATATATTGAACATTTTTGAAATGTGACTAAAATTACCGCCACTGAGCCATTTAATGCACACCTCCTTCCATTTTTTACAGCACACGTTGTTAGATTTGCGAAAAATTAATACGGAATTCAAAAAGAACGGTATATTGTTTATAGAAGAAGTAATAATTAAACTACACTGCCGGAACAAAGTATTGGCACAGCAAATTTTTCACAACATATGCAACAATTTTCATTCTAATACTTTTCGGCTAATTTCGTATAAAAATATGGTTCATTCTACAACAAAAAACATAAAAATATAATTCCTAAACTTTGTGCAAATTTTCATGAAAATTTTCAAATTTTTACTCAGATTTTTTAGAATTTTTTTGAGCATGCACATTAGTTGCGTTTTTTTACTCATTTCCAGTAAAATCCAGTAAAAGTTTTTACGAATTTTCATGTTTTGGCGTTTTCGTACGCAAAAACTTGCAAAGTAGGGGAAATTGAGAGAGCGAAAAATGACAGCTGAAGTTGCAAGTTTTTACTGGATTTTACTGGATAAATTTTTACTTGTAAGAATTTGCCAGTACGAAAAACAGCTGATCGCATGTTGCTGGATGAAATTTAAACTAATAAGGAAACTGTTTGTGGCTTTTTATTGTTGAATTTCACAAAATAAACCTATTTAAATACAAAATATATTGTTCTATAAGGAATTTGCTGCGAATAAACAACCAATTTATGAGCTGTTCATGAAACTTGCAAATTATTACTGGAAAAGCGTTCGCGTACTTTTTTGCAAATTTTTTCTATGAGAGCGAATTCTTAGAAATAAAGTTACTGGAGAGTTACTGGCAAGTTACTGGATAATTTGTAAAAAAACACAACTATTTGTAGCCCAATCTATTAATAAAAAACAAGTTTTAATTAGCTAGCAATTACCGTTGATTTTTGGCAATTTTTTTCCACGCAGTCTCTTCCATACAAATTTTTTTTTTTCGAAAATGTTTTATATGGAAGAAATGCATAACACCTTCAACAAAAAAAAAATCTCAAAAATCAACGCGATTTTTGACTAACTCCGAACTTGGGCGGGCTGCAAAACTGCATAGNGGAGAGTTACTGGCAAGTTACTGGATAATTTGTAAAAAAACACAACTATTTGTAGCCCAATCTATTAATAAAAAACAAGTTTTAATTAGCTAGCAATTACCGTTGATTTTTGGCAATTTTTTTCCACGCAGTCTCTTCCATACAAATTTTTTTTTTTCGAAAATGTTTTATATGGAAGAAATGCATAACACCTTCAACAAAAAAAAAATCTCAAAAATCAACGCGATTTTTGACTAACTCCGAACTTGGGCGGGCTGCAAAACTGCATAGTCAAAAAAATTCTAAAAAATCTGATTAAAAAGTTTAAAATTTTGATGAAAATTTGCTGAATTTTCGCGAGTTTGCACAAAGTTTAGGAATTATATTTTTATGTTTTTTGTCGTTGAATGAACCATATTTTTATACAAAATACTTTATGTGGAAAAAATGCAAAACAACTTCAACAAAAAAAAAAAATTCTCAAAAATCAACGCGATTTTTGACTAACTCCGAACTTGCATTTTTTTTACTAGAATTTAATGGGCTGCAAAACTGCATACTCAAAATTCTAAAAAATCTAAATAAAAAGTTTAAAATTTGTTGAATTTTCGCCAGTTTTGCACAAAGTTTAGGAATTATATTATTATTTTTTTGTTGTTGAATGAACCATAGTTTTACGCAAAATTGGCGGAAAAATATTAGAATACAAATTGTTGCATATATTGTGAAAAATTTGCTGTGCCAATACTTTGTTACGGCAGTGTATGTTTAATTCATGATACATAAACCGAGCTGGAAGAAAAATTTCAAATTAAGTGAAAACATCAACGGATGTGCGGCTCTACTTCATTGCAGTCTACTATATTTGTAAGACTCCTAAATCGGGTTTATTATACATGGGCAAAAAAGCTTAATTTCATGCCATAATTATGAAACTAATCGGTTTTCACCGTATTTTCGTTGTGACTACTTCAGATATTAAAAAATTTTAAATTTTATACCAGTTCATATTTATGGTTCAGCCACCAATAATATGCCATCAAAAAGGTTTTAGCCCCACCCTAATTTAATTCGGGCATGAAAGGGTTAAATAATACTACACAGTAAAAAATTAAAAAAACGCACATCCAAAAAATGGTATTCTATTCATAAAACGATCCATTTTCAGTTTGCAATAAAAACAAGTGTCTCAATCAAATAGGGCAAAAAATAATCCGATAGGGTCTAACGGGTCGATTGGCATTAAAAGGGCGGAAAATAGTCCATCCCGGGCTAGAACATTTACAGCCATATAACAGCACTGTAAGACCAGTTACAGCACAATTTAATAACAAATATTTTCTACAGGGAATATGCAATTAGACGCACTCAATACCATTAGTATAAATTTAGTCTGGGTGCAAATACCTATGTACATATAAATCAAAGCAAATTGTGACGAAATCGTCTGAAATTCTATTAATTAATTTCAACTTATTTTAAGACCTCTTTTTTGTGTTTAAGTGAACGATTAATAGCCCACCAGTGCGAGACAAATTTCAAAAAGAAACACAAAAAATTAGAAAAGCTTAAAAACCTGTGCTTATGTATTTGTGATATTAGTCATTCAATTTAGAAGAAATATTAACAATTTCATTGTGAGCTGTTAGCAACCAAAAGGCAGGTTGGTTTGCGCCATTTTTTTAACTTAATAAGTATATGGGTTTGGTTTTTAAGGCTTCCTAGATCTACCATAATCAACGGAAAAAATTTACAAAAATTAAATAGTTGTAGTAGTAGATTTTACCTTTATTAACTACAATCATATCCACAGAATGGTCAACCAGGACTGAGAACTAAAATGAACAATCAGTTGTATTGGAGCTATAAGTTATAGTGGTTAGATTTTGACGGTTCCGACAAATACACTTGCTTACCAAATTGCAGTCAAATGTCTCGAAAACTGGGGGCCTAATTGCGTTAAAACAGACAGACTTGGCTAAATCGACTTAGCTCGACATTCTGATCATTTTGGCAAATATTAATCGGACCAAATTTATAATACCATTTCATGCTCATGAAAGATATAAATAAATAACTAATAGAGATTATGTTTTCCCTTGTTTTTTGAACTTCAAAAGCCTACGAACGTACGGTTCGCGACTGTTGGAAATGCCCATATGTACGTATTGCTTTGAACAAAACAAAAATTAATAATAATCATAGGCAGTAACAGTAAATTTTGTGCGTCTGCAGTAGGAATCCCGGGATTCTTGGCAAATAATCCCGGGATTTACGGGATTTGTAATTTGCACTCCTTTTTTTGACCAGTATTGGCTGTATTTATTTATTTTTATTTAATAATTAATATCTTTTTATAAATATCTAGCTCATTATACATATAATACCGTGCGGTAGTAAATTTTACACACAAAAATCAATATATTCGTGAAACCATGGGCCAAATATAGTAAAATTAAAACGATGAAATGATTACCGCAGGCGCGCTAGACTTGTCGATAATAATAATAATAATAATAGATTGGCGCTTACACATATGTTAGTGTTTGGCCGAGCTTCTCCTCCGAGACTTGTCGATACTTGTTGAAAAACTCATGCGGAGTAAATATCTTCCATACAAAATACATTGGTCATCAAGAGAAAAGCGGAAGTAACTTACAGCTATATTAGCCCAAATTTAAAGAGAGTGTCAGTAATATTTAAAAAAAAAAAAAATTATAACTTTAATAAAAAAATTTTTTTTTAACAAATAAAAAATAAAAGTGGGAAATCGCGAGAAAACAATTAAAATCTAAACAACTTCCAAAAATATTAATAGCTTTAACTTCCAAAATAATTCGATATTAAAAAAAAACTTTTCAGAACTCCAGATTCGAGTACCATAAAACATAACACAGTCCTGCGAAACCACGATAAATTCTTTAAAAGTCATGGAGCTCTAATCCGTTAGAGGAAGTGTCGTTGCTTCAGATAACAAACTAATCAGCCCAATTAATTTGCAAATTGTTACTGTTTTTGCGTTTTCACTGAGAGCAAATGTTACAAGTACTTTTTAAGTAATTTTTAAAATAGAAAGAGCATTCGGTACAAACACATTACTTTAGGTATATTTGGAATGAAGCCAAACAAATTTTCAGGGAATGCTTTCCATTTTTCATAAGATTTGTTTACCCTATCGCCGCTTCCGTTTGCGAAGTTCCGTCATTTTTTTCGGCGCGAGTATTCTTATCTCCATCTACATATAACATCTATTGGGTGGCGGTGATATTTGTTCTAATGCTTGTAAAAACAAATTTCTGCTTACCTGCATTTTATTAATGGCTTTCCATCCATCTTCGACACCTTTGACGGCCACGTACTTAGATTGTACTGGCAGCAACAACTGGTCCAAAATATCCAATTTTCCCGGACTGTATTTAATAGATTGCAAACTCATTTTATTTTAGGCGTTTGGGTCTGTTTTTTGCAAAATTTTAACGCGATTCGACTGCAAATGAACAAAAACACGAGACACTAAAACACTTTTATTACAAATTCATATCCAAATAAAAATTTTACTACACAAAGCACATAAACAATTGTGAAATGTATTAATATAGTACATATATATATGTACGAGTTCAACATATGCATACATGTGTAGGTATTTACATACACATATCTACAGGTACCTACANAATGTATTAATATAGTACATATATATATGTACGAGTTCAACATATGCATATATGTGTAGGTATTTACATACACATATCTACAGGTACCTACATACATATGTACAGTTATCCACAAAATAATAGGAGTGCGATGTTTTGATTGGTTTTGGCTATTTGCCTTTTGTTTATTTAATGGTTATTATTTTTTTATATAAACGTCTAGCTAGTTACACAAAAAACACCATATACATTTACATTTCAAACACACTGCCAGCAAAAAAATTTCCAATTTTAGCAGCCTATAATTTGCACTTTATTAAACTAGAATTAAGAAGGCTACAAAACTGCATACCAAAATTTTTCCTAAAGAGTGATTAAAAAGTATGAAATTTGGGTGAAAATTTCCAGTTTTTATAATTTTTGTATAAGTTTGAAATGTAAATTTATATGATGATTGTTGTGTAACTAGCCAAACTTTCATACAAAAAATAATAAACATTAAATAAACAAAAGACAAATAGCCAAAAATGATCAAAATATCNGAAATGTAAATTTATATGATGATTGTTGTGTAACTAGCCAAACTTTCATAAAAAAAATAATAAACATTAAATAAACAAAAGACAAATAGCCAAAAATGATCAAAATATCGCATTCCCATTATTTTGTGGGCCACTATATATGCACGTATCCATATATGTATGTATGTATGTATTGAAGTGCACCAAACTAATAGACAACATTTGTACAAATGCGTAAACATTTATCGATTCACAGAATTTGTTGTTTTAATGAGTAAAATTTTGTGTCGCTAGCATCGAAGCCAAAATAGAACGAAGTACTTTCATTAATACTAATAAAAAAATAACAAATTTGTAAACAAAAAAAATCTTTCTTTGACGTTCACTGAACAACGATCACCGGCATTGATCGCAGCTGATCACTGACCAAAACCGCACGCCCGATAGATCGAATGCGTTACGTTTGCGTATATGTATGTATGTATGGGTCGCAGGTGCGGTGGAGAAACGCATGAGATGCTCAATTTCCGCAAGCAAAAGTGCCCTCATAGATCAGCAATAAATATGGAAATTTGGCCAAGGTGGAAATGGAGGTGCTGACTTGCTGCCAACCGATAGCATCATCGGTGGCGGTTTGTTCGTAACACGGCAATTCACTTTATCGTGTCCCGTGAAATGACCGAAATGAAGCGAAATAGGAAATTGCATTTTAATTTTAAATTCGATTAACGACAAATAATCGAATTTTGCGGGGAATACGCGATACTTTGAACTACATAATTACACGTAAAAACTGTGCGCCGGTAGCAGACGAACAACTAGCTACACAGGTATATATGTACATACATACATATGTATTTAATACCGATCGGTGATCTCTTTTTAAACTGGTACACCAAAAGTCGAGTAATTATCTACCACTTGGCAACGATTGAGCGATCACCTTTCGATTTGTAGGGGGTGAGCAGCTAAGAAAAATGTAAAAACAATGAAAAACGAAAACAAAACGTCAACCAACAGCAATTACTGGTGCGAAGTATGTATTACGTACGTATACGTATGTCGAGCACGCAAATGATGAGCAGAGAGAAAAAACCACGACAATGTGCGCGCCAACCGGGAGTAGATACCGATTCCGCCGGCAGTTGCAAATGTGACTGAAGCGGCAGACACTCAATGAGCCCACGAGACCTGAGATTTAAAGCAATTTTTTTTTAAGAGTATTTTACGTTATCTGCGGTTTATTAGAAGGCAAGGTGCCCACCCTATAAATACAGAGATTACGGTGTGCACATGTACATATTTACATACATATGTACGTTCATAATTGTCCATATACATACGTATTAGGCTGGGTCGATTTTGTATGGGGGAAAATAAAAGGTATTTGACCGTATTGTAACATGTAGTAATATTATGATGTCTTAGGTCTAAGCCAATTGTTATTGACCAAGAAAGATTCATTTGAAACTTATCTTTAGCCCGCGCAATCGAATCAAAGTGTATGAATATTGAAAATGAAACTTTGGCGTGTAATATCTATGGAATGCGTTAATTGTTATAAACAGGACGATATATCAAATAAAGGGCTATTAAATTTAGTACCTCACGTTCATTTATCATTTTTCAATAAGTCTACACTTTTTTAAGATATTAAGATAAAACTTACAAAAACTATAATTTTCCCTCATGATTTTTCAATTCTTCATTACTTCAGCAACTAAGTGAAAAATACAAAAAAGGGAGACGAGATTTATGCATTTCAAACGTTTTAATGTTTTCGGATGTCGATTTGGTCAGTTTTCAAGATCGTGGTGAATGAAGTCAAACATGTATTGTCAAAGACTAGGAACCATTTGATAAGTTAATAGTAGTTGCAAGCATATAGGTATTTACATACATATTTAACATAATACAATTAAGTTTTTTGATATAACTTTCGTAAGTGTTATTCGATTGCTACGTAATAATTACCAAATTGAAGGCGAGACTTACTGTTGCTGATTTATGATAATAATATGATGAAAATAGTTCAGATTATAAACTAATTATTTTAAAATAAAAAAAAAATTTTGAACAAATTTTTTTGCAATTTTACTATATTTGCAATTTTTATATTGTATGCATAAACATACATCTCATAAATCTTTTTGCTGAATCCAGAATTTTTAACAAGAATTGGGCTTATTAGACTAGTGTGCTGTGGATCACTACGCGGTCGATGCGCGGGCTCACACAAATAATATAAAAGACTAATATTTTGCAGGCTTGTTGTTGACTGCATGATACAATATATTTTCCCTATTCCCAAGGGATTTGAGAAAAATTAGATTTTCGACCCGTCCTAATATGTATGTACACATTAGGGCTGTTCAGGATCTCGTGCATATGATCTCGCATTTGCATATTCGTTGCTTTTGTAAACTCACAACAATAAAATACACATAACAACATCCTGAACAGCCCTATTATATGTATGTATAGTGAAGCGTTAAACTATTCAATAAACATTACAGTCCATTAACTGGTATTACAAAGCCTGCGGGGATCGAGGTCATCGACTGCGGGTCTTTTTGTTCTTGGCAGTTATTTTCATGATGTGTTATGCGACAAGTAATTTTTAAGCAAAAAACAAAACCGACTGCGATTCTCATAAAATCGGCGTAAAACTGTGGGTCCCACCGCATTGTGTGACAACATCAAGGCGCACGACACAAATCCGAGAAGAAGCTCGGCCAAACACTAACCCATGTGTAAGCGCCAATCNACGCAAATCCGAGAAGAAGCTCGGCCAAACACTAACCCATGTGTAAGCGCCAATCTATTATTATTATTGTTATTATTATTATATATATACATATATATATATATCATGATCCAATGATCGGATCTAAACCAGTACAGCACGAGCAAGGTGAAATATATTTCCGAAATCGATTTGCGCTCTTTCAGTTGAAGTCACACCTTGCAAGTTTAATTTCTGAAACTAATATCCGAAAAGTGACAGGAAGGTCTTTCTGGATGATTACTCACGGAAATAAGATTTCTCTTTCTCCCTAGACAGCGTGTGGCGGCGAAAAGTTGAAAATATTGCCACGCGCTGCACTAGCAATTTTCATTTTTGTTGAAAGTGCTGTCAAACCAATGGAATGCTGCCGTATGACGCGATTTCAGCGAATTTTTTGTGTAAAATTATGAAAATGTTTAATGAAATATGAAAAATACTTTTAATTAATATATTCTGCTCATACCAAGTATTTAAATATTAATACAACTATTCTTTCTAATTTTAACAAGGAACATGTACAGTAGGGTGGTCTAAAATAAGTAAAGTCGGAATTTTAATGCTCTCACCCCCTACGATTGTTCTATATCAAAAAACAATACCCCTATTTTTTCTAATACGTCTAAATACTTTAATATCATAAAAATTAATTTATAAAAAAACATTTTTCTCTTTAAAAGAATAAAATCTAAACTAAAAAAAATATTAATTAATAAAATAAACAAAAATTAAATAAAAAAGCTCCGCTACCCGACGACTCGGACTCGAACTCGGATCTCCTAATTGGCAGTCTAGTGCTTTGCTCCCTCGGCCATTGCGATTGCTGGGGCAGCGCGAGCAAAATGGCATACATAAATGTCTATTGATTTCTTTGCACGAGCTGATTTCGAATCAGCATTCGCAGCTGGCAACGATATTTTCGAGTTCACTCGGATTCAGTGATTGCATTTTTTTCGTATTCGTAGCAGGCATTCGAATTCGTAGATTTTCTACGCTTGATTCCGTGATTCCAATTGTTTATTTAACCATTTTTCAATACTAAAGGGTTTTTATTTATCCCCCCGTTTTATTTTCTGACATTTTCTGGGGGTTTTGGTGGACCTATAAAATATAGTTACTATGAAAAATGGTTAAATAAATTGGGTATTATTATTGGGAATCTCCTGAAGAGAAACAGAGTTTTCCAATCGAAAAATAGTGATTTTCAATAATTCTATACCATTTCTACGAAAAGCGGTTTTCCCCATAAAAAAAAACATGGAAAACTTTGAGCGCTTTGAGCGACCTCTAAATACTTTTTTTATTTCAAAATAAAAAATAGGGCTATATTTTTTCCAACTTTACTTTTTCACATGCCATTTTGGACCACCCTAATGTAGTCAATCAATAAACTTTGGGTACAGAGAATTTTTTGTAATACGGACATTTTATTTTATTTTTCGCAAATTTTTTATAAAAATATGGCTGATTCTACAACAAAAACCCCAAAAATTACGAGTTCCAAGTTTTGTTCATAATTAAGAATTTAAAGTGTAAAGTAATCTTTATAGTTTATTAATATTAACATTAAAAAACCCGTAAAAACTGTCCTTGAGTTATGGTGTTTTAGCAAGTAACAGAGTTAGGACCATTTTTTCAGTGTCAGTTTAAAATTAGATTACGTAAACTGCGTTTATATTAAACAGCTGGATGACATTTTATTGGCTAATCTAGGTTTAAACCAGCCAGCTTGAGGGTTTAAACTAAGTTTAAACCACAGCCGTACACTGAAAAACTGGCCCCTAGAGCTAAATAAATTTGAACAAAACAATCATATTTTTATTAGAATTGCTATTAAGCTTTACTTTTTAACCTTGCACATGTTTTAATATTTTAAGGTACGAAATCATATTCTAAATACATCATAATCATCTGGACTATCTTCAACATTTGCGGTTGGCCAGCTAAATATGTTTTGATAAAATGGCATATGCTCTTCGATAATGCTATCTTTAACTGTTTTAACTATTAATTGGCACTTTTAAATCCTAAGCTTTAACTGATAGAAGTGAAACAGAAGTTGTGAGTTTTTTATTAGTATCAATGAAGGCTTAATGAATCCATCAATAAATTCCTAGGCTACAATGATAGTACCTACATCTTTTATTTGAATCATAGTGAAAACTAATATTTGTCGAAGGCGCGAATGATTTTTTTTTGTGTTCTTTTGGGATACTTTTTCCGTGCGGTTGAGTCGGCAAACATGTTTTTTTTATGTATGTGGCCGCCATTTTTTAAAGTCCAAAACATCTTCACTGTGCAGCTTTTTGACTGTAAATGCTAAGCTGGAACTCGAAACTATGGGATATAAAACAATGAAAAACTTGGAACATAGTTAATACTATCATCTAGAAGTGCATGCAAAAACCACTTAAGTCACTGACTTCCGTTGCTTAATCCATGAACGTCTATTACGTGGTATTATTTAAATGGGAATACACTCGTATTGGCATACATGGTTAGTACCCAGGATACGCATTTACATTTAAGGAAGCGTTTGTAGCAAAAACAAAGTATGTTTGAAAAAATGTGAGGTATGTATGTGGTTTTTGAAATGACCGATTCAATTATTTTATGCACATTCAATTGTCTGCATTCGCCATGCAAATAGACAAAAAGTAGTACCATAAAGTTCAATTTTCGGAAATTAAAAATGCTTTCCAAAATCAATTTAGATGCAAGGTGTACTGCTCCTGCAATCTCTTTTGGAAATTCCTAAGGTTGACCACTTTCCATAACTACTTATATTCGACTGGTATGAATTAGCTGTTAGCAATTATTTCAAACTAACATCGACCGATTGTAGGGTACCAAATTGTGTGTTTTTATCTTGATAATGCTCTTGGCAAGCAATAATTATCAGAACTTTTATCTTGATAAATATTGCCAGCAATTTGGCACTTGGACAGCTAAGTACATTTTCATTAGAGCGATAACTTCGTGGCGGCAACATTGTTGATATTTTTTTTTAACTATTTGTTATTATGTACTTGGATGTGACATAGCATATTTTCTAAAATTTTTAAGTGATTAAATCCGACAAAAATAGCCATCTTACAAATACTTTTATCAAGATAAAAAATGCCCGCGCACAAATATTACCTCTGATCAAATTTATATCAGGCAATAAAAATTACAGTTGGTAGGCAAAAACTTTTGCCTGTGGAGACGGGCCATAATGAGCAATAGCAATCAATAGCTATATACATATATACATAGTGTAGCTTACGACACTGGTGACAATTTCTTGCAGGTGTACTCCTAAGGTCATGAACGACTTCCATATAAACGGAACCCAAAGTCATTTAAGACGCAACTTTTCCGTGCAAGACACTAAAGTGACTAATGCATGACATTCGCTACGGGAATATATCTGTGGTCATAAGCACTAAGCGACTAAGTCAA